CTTTTTCTTTGAACTTTGTAGTATGTGTGTGTGTACAGTATGTTCATCTTCAGTATGTGAGAGTACACAGATGTGCTAGTACGACTGCTGATCTTGCGTTATCACTAGCCATATGATACTGATGGTCTCTAATTATTTGCTTGGGTAACATGGAGCACTCTTGTTCTTGATGCGCTGTCAGATTTGGCCTGTCATCTCTCTTACACAAACTTCATTTATGGAACAAAAAATCAATATTCTTGTTTTTCTTCAATGTTCACAGTTAGCCCCATTTCATCTGATATAGTTTCGGAATTCACGGTAAAGGAGCAAGTACGTGAAATGAATAAAGAAATTGCTGAGAAAACAGAGAAGTATAAGAAATGCAAGCAAATGTTGGCAGTAAGTAAATGGCTACTTCGGAAAGCTGAACAGAAAGTAGCTAAAGGTGCTAAATCTTTAAACCACAAAGCCTACCCAGCTGAGTTGCCTTGCTTGTTTGTGTAATACACTGCGATTATGGTCGAAATTTTAACATTAGAAAACACATTTTTATTAAGTCAGCTCTTGATTACCTGTGGTGTTAGAGACCCCAGACAAGGACCCCTCAGGATAACCCCAATGCAATAAAACAAATGAACAAAACTACTACTACTTCTATGCTTAGTTTTGAATACTTTTTTTTTTTTTTGCATTGTATTTTTATTATTAGTTGTTTTTATAAATCACACACAGCATGTTGCTATAAGCCAGCTGATGTCTGGAACAAGTATAGCAGTGTTTATCTGATATGCTGCTCAAGTGTAAGAATTCCCTTCCAAATGTGACTGTCCTGGGCTTTTACAGTGTTTTGATGTCCGAGTGGGTGCTGCCTAGTAGCTTGGGCTCAGTCATACGTAAAGGCATTTATATGGTTCGCTGGACCAAAGTCAGCACCAGTAGTGCTGTAGCCACAATAGTAATTCCCTTCAAATATTAATAGCTGTCAGTCCTAACTTGATTTTCATTTAACCAGTTTGGATCTATGTATGACAATAGAGTATTGCATCAGTGATACTGGTGAAAAGTTGACTGGTGTAGAATTGTTTAAAAAATGCTTTCTGGGTGTTGTCTTGTCTCTGTTCATTTGTTTGCTTGTTTGGTGATTAAAAAAATATTAATCAACATTATGAAGTCAGAAAAGTTAGAATTAAGATTAGAATTAAAAACTTGGAATTTTTCTCTACTTCAGTATGTTTTGTTTTCAAATAGTCATATTGACAGACTGTCATGAACTCAGCTTATCTTGTTTCTCTTACTTATCACAAGGGGATTATTCTATTTTAATGTGCTCTCCAGGATGTAACAACTGTCATGTAATTCTGTTCATTACCCTGTCTATGGAGAGCCTGTGTTAGCTTCTGCTGGCTATTTCTTCTGTAGTGATGCTTGAGGAAAACTTTGCCTTTGACCTTCTGGATGAAAGTTGCATGGGGAAAGGTTTCGTATTGAAGTGAGACACTTGAAAGGATAACCATGATATGGTATTAGGATACAAAGAAACTGTGAAGCTAAAGAGGAATATTAGCTTGGTGAAAATTCAGGCAAGAAAAAAAAAAAAAGTATTAACATAATTTGTGCAGTGTTCAGTCATCCTGTCCTCTTCCGAGTCTTGAGTCAGGCTTGATTTCTTGGGGAAGCCATTTGTAAATGGTCTCGTTCTAAAAGCATGGAGTTACACAGTGTCATTGTTGGAGGTGGGAGGGGAAATCTCTTAAAATTGTAAATATTTCATGCCATGGTATAAACTATTCTAGGATGAGAAGCTGAAATGCAGTGTTTATGCGGATGAACTAGCTAAACTGGAGCTGAGGTGGAAAGAACAAGTGAAAATCAATGAGGGTATAAAATTACAGCTAGCAGCAATGGAGGATCAGTATAAAGTAAGTGAACAGTTTTAATGGGGGAAAAACGGGGGGAAAAAAACAGTAAATACATTTTTGCTGTAAATAGAAAATCTGTTTTGTGCTTGTAGAAACAACACAGTCTTGTAATGCTTCTTTGAAAGTACGACAGACCTGTTAAGTATAGTACCAAATGGCTACCAGTCTTTTAATGTTGTGGATTTAGACAAACCTCTAAATGATGTTAATCTTATATTACAGGAAAAAAGGGGTAGA